AAGAGGCCTTGCTACTGGAAGGTTCTTGGCGACGCACGTGCTTGATCTGGTACTTCTCTAGGGCGCGAACAGGTCAGCGCCATCTTGCGCAATCATGTCAAGTGCGTCAGCGATCTTCACCTTGCCAGTGGCAAATGCGAATCGAATCCGCAAAGTATAACCGCAGCCGTGGGTCGATGGTCACATTTTGTTGACACGTATCACCAGGAGGCGGCGATACAGATGGCAGCATCGGGCTCGGCAACGCGGCGCGTGAGCCTGTTTGGGCGAACAGCGGTGGAACGTGCCCGCCCGTCGCCACCTGCGGCGCGAGAGCTGGCCGACTGGAGGGTCGTCGGAGACGCTCGTCCGCCTGCCGTCGAGGCCGTCTAGCACCCGATAATCGCGCGTTGGGGGGCACCGATGCTCTGCCGCCTGCGGCGGGGCAGCTTTACGACGAGGTCACTGAGAAGCCTGCCGAGCGCGCGGCAGTTTCTATGCCGCTACCGCCGCAGCCGCATCATGAATGCTGGACCGGCTTTCAGCGGCGCGATGAACTGCCAACTACTCCAGAGCACCCAGCTCGGGTGAAACGAAAAACCAGTCGAGAAACTTCCAAGAGGCCTCCAAGAGGGCTCCGAGATGCTGAAGATGGCCTCCAGACGTCCAAGGACGCCCCCAAGAGGCCCCAAGAAGCCTCCAACATGCGTCCCAAGAGGGCCCCTAGACGCACAAATTGGCCCATTCCCTTCGTAAAACGTACATTTTTCAACAAAGTTGCTTTTTGGGCTTTCCGACGTTACAGGACGGCCCACGAGGCGCCCAAGACCGCCCCAAGACGGCCCAAGAAGCTTCCAGGACAGCCCAAGAGGGCCCCAAGACGGCCCAAGAGGCGCCCAAGATGGCCCAAGAGGGCCCCAAGACGGGCCCAAGAGGGGGCCCAGAGGGGGACCACGAACCGCAAGCTCGAGCCTTCCGCCCCAAGAGGCCGCCAGGAGGCCCCCAGGAGGCCCCTCAAGAGGCCCCAGGAGACCCCAGACGTCCAAGGACGCCCCCAAGAGGCCCCAAGAAGCCTCCAACATGCGTCCCAAGAGGGCCCCTAGACGCAAAATTGGCCCATTCCCTTCGTAAAACGTACATTTTCAACAAAGTCGCCTTTTGGGCTTTCCGACGTTACAGGACGGCCCAAGAGGCGCCCAAGACCGCCCCAAGACGGCCCAAGAAGCTTCCAAGAGGGCCCCAGGACAGCCCAAGAGGGCCCCAAGACGGCCCAAGAGGCGCCCAAGATGGCCCAAGAGGGCCCCAAGACGGGCCCAAGAGGGGGCCCAGAGGGGGACCACGAACCGCAAGCTCGAGCCTTCCGCCCCAAGAGGCCGCCAGGAGGCCCCCAGGAGGCCCCTCAAGAGGCCCCAGGAGACCCCAGACGTCCAAGGACGCCCCCAAGAGGCCCCAAGAAGCCTCCAACATGCGTCCCAAGAGGGCCCCTAGACGCAAAAATTGGCCCATTCCCTTCGTAAAACGTACATTTTCAACAAAGTTGTCTTTTGGGCTTTCCGACGTTACAGGACGGCCCAAGAGGCGCCCAAGACCGCCCCAAGACGGCCCAAGAAGCTTCCAAGAGGGCCCCAGGACAGCCCAAGAGGGCCCCAAGACGGCCCAAGAGGCGCCTAAGATGGCCCAAGAGGGCCCCAAGACGGGCCCAAGAGGGGGCCCAGAGGGGGACCACGAACCGCAAGCTCGAGCCTTCCGCCCCAAGAGGCCGCCAGGAGGCCCCCAGGAGGCCCCTCAAGAGGCCCCAGGAGACCCCAGACGTCCAAGGACGCCCCCAAGACGCCCCAAGAAGCCTCCAACATGCGTCCCAAGAGGGCCCCTAGACGCAAAAGTTGGCCCATTCCCTTCGTAAAACGTACATGTTTCAACAAAGTTGTCTTTTGGGCTTTCCGACGTTACAGGACGGCCCAAGAGGCGCCCAAGACCGCCCCAAGACGGCCCAAGAAGCTTCCAAGAGGGCCCCAGGACAGCCCAAGAGGGCCCCAAGACGGCCCAAGAGGCGCCCAAGATGGCCCAAGAGGGCCCCAAGACGGGCCCAAGAGGGGGCCCAGAGGGGGACCACGAACCGCATGCTCGAGCCTTCCGCCCCAAGATCGGACAGGCACATAACTACACTTTGGGCGAGTGGATTAGCTTTTTGCGTGGGTCCCAAAATTTCAAACTTACTTTTGCGACATCGTCTTACGTATTGGTTCGCCCGCCATTCGAGGGGGGCGATCGCGCCTGTCGGATTTGCCGAGGCCTCGACTTCGCTTGCCAGTGTCAGTGTGGATTCAAGGCTTGCGCCTCACGAGAGGATTGGAGGATGAGCGCAAGGTGGGCCCTTCAGCTGCGGGGGGGCGCGGGCGTTTGCCGCCACGCAGGGGCCAGGGGCGATTGGGAAACGCTCCGGGAAATGGAGGGCGGCAGGTAGAGGAAAAACGGGGGAGGGGGAGGGCAAAGCAGCGGGCGGGAATGGGGAACATAGTGACCAGGCGAGATGCTCTGACAGGGGGAGCGATGTGGGCGGAGGCCGCACTTGGAATTCCTCCGGAAAGCCCTAGGACGTTCAGACACCTCCGCCCGGAGGCTGGCAGGGGGTTCAGCGGCCCTTGCCTTCCTGACTCTGCGGGCGGGGCGCGACGACGCACCCGACCTGTACCCCGTCCCTTTCGTTAGGTGCCGGTCTATACGTGCTCGCCCCGCGCGAGACATCCAGCACGCTCAGAACTACACTTAGCAAGGCACTAGGTGTAGTTCTGTACGTGCTGGTTTCGCCGCACACATCCTCACAAAACGGAGCACTTATAGAACTACACCTAGCCAGTGGGGCGGGGTGCATGTCGGGTGCCGCCACTCGCGCTCCCAACGTGTACCGCGCCCCTGCCGCTAAGTGCCGTTCTGTACGTGTCTCTTTTTCGCGGAGCATCGGCTGCCCGCGCTGCCCATCGCCGAGGCCCCGCCCCCTGGGCCGCTTCCCGCCGACATCCCACATCCCCTGGCTCAGCGAAGCCAGCTGTATGCCTGGGGGCCTCGACCTCGCGCAGCCCGCTTCCCTCCCCCGCCTGTGCCTAATTTCAAATTCGCGATCCGATTTTCTGCGCTTTCGAGTTTTTCTTCGTGCCGGATTTCCCGTCCGAGGGTGACACGCTTGTTCGCGTTATGTTTTTCCTTGAGGCTGCCGCCAAGCCGCGCCGTGAAACATGGCGATCGCTTCCACGGTTGGCACGCAACGTCGTCGGCACGACCGTCGCCTTCCATCGTAGGTCGTGAGGCGGCGTCCGTCCACCCAGACCGACCGACGCGCCCAATCTAATTATGATTGCCACCCCTGGTCCCCGCAACAAGGTGCAGTTTTGCTGCGTGTAGTTGTAGATGTGTTCGACAAGAGGCCGCCAGGAGGCCCCCAGGAGGCCCCTCAAGAGGCCCCAGGAGACCCCAGACGTCCAAGGACGCCCCCACGACGCTTCGCGTCACCAATTTCTTCTCACAACGATTCCTGGGTCTGTGACTCGACAGAACCTAAGCGCGCGCGAAGCGCGCGCGTGGTTCTAGTATATATATGGATAGAGATAGATCCGGCGTTCAGCGTCTCCGTGAGAAGCGACGGCCTCAAACCAAGGGTCAATGCCCGCATGGATGAAGCCAGCGCCCGCACTTTATTTGTATTCAACATTTAGTATAGTGCAACATATTTCAGCATTTGCCTCGAAGAAGAACATACCTTACATACGCATTCAGGATGAAGTGTCGGCGACCCTGATTTGCGCCGATAAGACAAAACGCTTGAACCGTCGACAGGGCATGCCCATGCAGGTTTGTGTTTCCTCTTTCGCCGCGCCATGGTATGGCTTCCGAGTCCCAGCCCCGCCATCGCAGCCGGACCCCCTCAGTTGGGGATGGGCTCGTCGAGTCTCGAGGGGAACTGCCCATATCCCCATCTGAAAGGGTAAATCGGCGAGCGGGGCCATGGCCATGTCAGTTGGGATGGGGATCGATTGAACGATGCTCAAATAAGCCAGGGTGGTTGCCGAGGTACCTGCCAGCCCTCCGAAGTGGGATGAAATTCTTGGGAGGTTAAATTTCGAATTCGCGCTGGTATATCCCTAGTCGAGAACTGGCCTCATCCCGCTAAATCCGATTCGATCCCGTTTAGTCCCGCTTAATCTTGCCTAATCCGGCCCAGTGGCATTTTCTTCGGGTTCAGTATATAATGGACCTCAAGCGTTTTGACGACCACCTCCGAATAGTTGCCTCATAACTCAGGCGGCCTCAGAGACTGTTCCCGGCGTTCCGAGAGGCATGACATTTTTGCTGCGACACGAGAATGTCTGGGCATGGGGGCTCGTCCAAGAGATTGGGCGGCAGACGGGGCACGCTGCGCCGCATGCAGGCCGCTCAGGGTTGCCAGGGTCGCCGGGGATCCTTGGGGAGAGTGGCGGGGACGCCAGGCGGGGCAGCCGAACAGGAGGCCCGGTGCGTCGGCGAAACTCCCGCGGTTTCGAAAGCTGTGCCGCACGCCCGCGGGCGCCGCGCGGCCTTTGGCGCGGCGATGCCGCTGGCGCGGCGTGGCCGCTGGCGCGGCGCGGCCGCTGGCGCGGCGCGGCCACTGGCGCGGCGCGGCCGCCCAGCCGCCTGCCCGCCCTGGCTACCCGCCAAGTGGACCGCCTGGGGGACAGCTGCCGCTAGCGACGAAAACGACGCCGCATGACGTCGATGCATGAGGTCGACGACGACGCCGACGCCGACGCCGACGCCGACGCCGACGCCGACGCCGACGCCGACGCCGACGACGACGACGACGACGACGACGACGACGACGACGACGACGACGACGCCGACGCCGACGCCGACGCCGACGCCGACGGCGACGACGACGACGACGACGACGACGACGACGCCGCCGACGACGACTCCGACGACGCCGCCGACGACGACGACGCGAGCGGCTGCCGGGCGGCCGGCGCTTGGCGGCCGCCGTGCGTCCGCAGGCCGTGCGGGACGGGCTGCTCGCGGAGCTGTGCGCGCCGCGGCAGCAGCGGAGCGCCCGCTCTCTTTCGGCAGCGGCGGGGCGCCTCCTCCTCCTCCTCCTCCTCCTCCTCCTCCTCCGTCCTCCCTCCTCCGCCTCCTCCTCCTCCTCCTCCTCCTCCTCCTCCTCCTCCTCCTCCTCCTGGTTCGGGGGCGGCCAGGGAGGGGGATGATGACTACAGTGGAAGCCCATGCCTTGGACCACCCTGCTGGCCTCCAGGGTGCCCTGGGTGTCTTGGGCTTCGGCGGTTTCTCCAGGGAAAGCGCAATGTTCCCGTACCCAGAACCAGTGGACGTCCTAGGGATCTGGGGTCGGGCTTCTTGTGGAAGGGTTCTTGTGGCCGAACCCCTACTGTAGTGGGGTGGATGTCACGGCGTGGGCCATGATACCTCCCCAGATGTCACGGCGCCTCTTGTGATTTCAGTACAGCCCCGCCCCCCCCTCCCCCTTGGGCCGCGCACGTGCCGCCAGCCATGACTTGCGCCCCCCTTTATATTGGACGCCCCCTGCTTGGACGCCCCTGATGTCTGCCCCCTGTCATCGAAAACACAGGACACCCTAAAACTGATAGCGCACTGAATACGTGGCCTAACGGAGGTCCCCGTGCTTGTTGCATTCGGAGCCATGACTCCGAGCGGTTTGGTGTGGTACATTTGCAGAGAAGACCCCTTTATCCCTAATGCGTTGGGTTTCTTAACTTAGCTTCGCCCTCAATGGGTTAGGGAGCATGTTCTAACTAATCACCCTGGCCGCTGCCCAGCGGAGGAAGAGGTACCGATGTGTCGATGATGCATCGCCGGCGTCGCCGATGCGGCGAGATCTTCCGACCCCATCTGCTCCGACCCCATTCAGGAGGCCTCTCACGGTCAGAATGGGTACATAAAGAATGGGGACGAAGACCGACAGTCCGAGGAGGACGAGGTACCGATACCGCTGCTCTCGCCCCGTTTATGGCTTTGGGGGGCCTGGTTCGAGGCCCTGGTCGCCACCTTCGGATTCGCATCGAAATTCTGGTCGAAGCGCACCCCGTGAGAGATTCGGGTGCATCGGTATCGGTACCTTTTGGTTCCCCCAGCTGCCTATTGTAAGATCGACAGGAGCGATGGAACCATTGGGCCGTCTTCACCGACACTGGTGCGAGAGCTGTCCGCGGAAGGTTTCGATTGAATGGGGGCAGGGCGAGGGGGACGACCTCCCAAGAAGACGCCCTACCTCTTGGAAGCCTTCCTGCCTTCTCAGAAGCCTGTCTCTAGACTTTCCCATAAGACGCGCTGCTATCCCAGAAAGCTCTCCCCCCCCTCGCCACACACCACTCGCTCGCCACCAGGCAGAGGCGTTGCTGAGTCTGCCAGCGGGGTCGAAGACTTTTGTGTTTGCTGGTGGCTCCCATGAGCCATGGGTGGGATGGCGCCCCTCGGGCTCCTAATTCTGAGGCTCTTGGTGGAGATACAGGGGACGCAACCTCTGTCACACATACACGCGCTCGCCCGTATGCACATGCCGAGGCGCACAACCGCGCACACTTGCACGTGCTTGAATTTGCACTTGCGCGGAACACAGACACAACCTATACGCACGACTGGCGATCCCAATTCCGGCCATAGCGCCAGGCCAGCGTAACGTTTGCAGACGAAGCTGATCAACTATACGAGAAACTCCAGGCGTCTCTGTTGCTCACGTTGGTATTCAAGTCCATCGTGCATCCCGCTCTCGGTGCTCCAGTCTTTTTGTTCGTCTCATTGTGCAAGTTTCTCGTTACTCTTCCCTGACGACATGTCGCCTCTCCTTCTCTTGCCAGGGCTGTGTGCCGAGGCATGGGAGAAGGGCGATTTCCAGGGCCCCGCCAACACGGTCTTCGGGCGATCCCTCGGGCCATGTTCGTGCCGAGCTCTTTTTGTAGCACGCGCGGAGCAACAACACAGGGCAAGGCAACGCGAGGCCGCAGCACGAGCACGAAAAACACGTGGCCTGGGTCGACCCCCGACGTTCCGTTTCGGTTCGCGCCGGGTGTGGAGCTCCGGGCCGCCCGCAGGGGGCACGAGTGATGCACGCGCTCTGTGCGCCGCGACACCCCTGACCAGAAGAGCGTGCCCTTCGCCGGCCGGGCGGCGCGGCGCCACGAAGGTGGTCGCGCGCCGCCGCGCACCGCGGGGCGCCGCGCATCGCGGGGCGCCAGGCGCGAGGCGCTGGGTCGGCAAGGAGCCCACGCGCCGGTCGTCGAAGGCAGGCAATTTCTGGGTGCCCAGGTCTTGCTCTGCTTCAAGCGCCTTCCTGCTTCGAGGGAAATTATATGCTTGTGCTGCGCTTTTTGCCACCTTCCGGGAGGGCCTGCACCCGATCTGCTTTATCATCCGCCCTCCTGCTTCCTGTCTTCGCCCACTTTCCGACCGGCGTGTACGACTGGATTAGGTGGCCACATGCGAACCCTACCCCTACCCCCCACGATTTCTGAGGGGGGTAGGGGTAGGGGTAGGGTTCGCATGTGGCCACCTATGGATTCGGTTGGCTGCCGTGCTCTGTGGTGCCACGGTTTCCTCGGTTTGGTCGGCTGTGGCGGCACGTTCCCCACGCTCCCCTGCCTGCGCGTGCCTCGCTGCAGGGCCCGTCTCGATCCGATCGGTCCGATCGCGACATCGACTGCGCCTCACCCCCTGCGGGAGCGGCCTTCGGTGACCCTGGCAAGCGGTGGATGCGACGATATCTCAGGAGGGGAAAAACACACACATACACAATTAATTGTCGATTCCCCAGATAATATGGGGAATCCGGGGATTTTTGTGTGTGTGTATCTATTTGTGTGTCTGGGTGCTTTTTTAATATTCTCCGTTTTGTAGTGGTGATGTAGTCAGGTTCGACGCATCATTTGATTTGATTTGACTTTTAATTGATCGTGCCCCACCTTAATCTTCGGGGCAACGATCGGGGGTGATAGGCATAGGGGGGGATGCATCGACCCCGAATCGCCCATTGATCGCCGACAGGGGCCCGATAGGCCCAGCCTGCCCAGGAAGGTGCGGATGCACCATCGGGGGCCTATCGCCGATTTGTCGTCGATGTAGCGCCGATTCCAGGTCCCCCTTTGTTCAGCCACGCGCCGAGGGGGGTGAGGGGAGGGGGGAGGGCTTCTTAGAAGCACCCCTGCTTCTTAGAAGGCGCGGGCCTTATCTGTGGATGTAAGGCCGGCGCCTTCTAAGAAGCAGCCTCCTTCTAAGAAGCCCTCCCCCCTCCCTCCACCCCCTTGTGCGCGCCGCCAATTCGCGCCAGTCCCCCCCTGTCGCTGCCCCAGCCCTTTGTGGGCCCCGGAAACGGCAGGGCCTTTTTTCACCATTTCCAACAAAATGTCCCTTGAAAATGGAAACGGCAAAAAAACGGCGACCGGAAACGGCAAAAAAAACGGCTCCAGGACTGGAACCGGAGCCGGAACCTGTCAAGAAACGGCGACGGAGCCGGTAAAAAAACGGCGTCGGAACCGGCAGAAAAAAACGGCAAAACGGAACCGGTAAAAGAACGGCCCTGTTGTTTCCAGGGCCCACTATCGGGTCGGGCGAAAGGGGGGGTTTGGGAAAGGGGGGGTTACGAAATTTGCTGCATGCAGCTGATTTCGGCCCCACCGAGGAGCCCATTCCTCGATACATAGCCGCCTCCGGCGCCGGGAGGCGCCGCGAAAATCAGCTACGTGAGCTGATTATCAACCCCCCCCTTTGCTATCCCTCCCTTTCGCCCGACCCGACACTAAGGTGCCAGTCCCCCCCTGTCGCTGCCCCAGCCCAGCTGCGGCAGCCCCCGGCCGGCCGCGCGGCGGCCAGGCGCGACAACGGGTCGAAGAGCCGGCACGGCACGAAGGGCCTCGGCGAAGACGCGGCGCCGACCCTGCCGGCACGCTTTCGCGCGGCCGCTGGGGGAACCTCAGGGGCTGAAATTTGTTTCTCTCTCTCTCTCTCTCTCTCTTTCTCTCTTTCCTCCTCCTCCTCCTCCTCCTCCTCTTCCTTTTCCTCCTCCTCCTCCTCCTCCTTCTCCTCCTCCTCCTGCTCCTCCTCCTCCTCCCCCTCCTACTCCTCCTCCTCCTCCTCCTCCTCCTCCTCCTCCCCTCCTACTACTACTACTACTCCTACTCCCTTCTCTCTCCTCCTCCTCCTCCTCCTCCTCCTCCTCCTCCTCCTCCTCCTCCTCTCCCCCTCCTCCTCCTCCCCTCCTCCTCCTCCTCCTCCTTCTCCTCCTCCTCCTCCTCCTCCTACTCCTACTCCTACTCTACTCCTCCTCCTCCCCTCCTCCTCCCCCATCCCCCTCCTCCTCCTCCTTCTCCTCCTCCTCCTCCTCCTCCTCCTCCTCCTCCTCTTTCTTGTTCTTTCGCACATGCACGCACACACGCGCATGCGCATACACACGCACGCGCTTACACTTGCTAGCGATCGCGGCCCCGCGCGCAGCGACGAGGCGTAGAAAGCTTCCACGCAACTAGAGGGCGCGCGTGACCGGCCCCTCAGAAGATGGAGCAGGGATCCAAACAAGATCGATCATGCCTCGCGCACCAGGCATGGGCAGCGAGGGTGAAGCAGGCCAGGATGGCATGCAAGGGGGTAAGCAGTGGAGTCAGACGGCAGCGACGAGGCTACAAGAGAGGTGGGCCAGTAACAGGCAGTAGACAGTGAGGACCTGAGCACCGACTCAGCGAGGCAAGGCAGGGCGCGGCCCGTGTGTCCCAGCATGGGGGCGGGCGAAAGCGACGCTCGGCAGGAGCGCTAGCGCAGACTTCTTCCACGTCGCAGCGCGGCAGAGGCGATCCGAACGCCCGCTCTGGTTGGCCGGGAGCGGGCGAAGTCACTGCCCGGTTGCAAAAGGGGAGATCGGGGGCGGAAAAGAGGGGGGTGATGACTAGGGGGGGGTGGATATCATGGCGGGGGGCATGATATTTCCTCAGATCTCATGGCGCCTCTTCTTGTTCCATTACGTGCCTCGGCCCCCCCGCTGGGCCGCGCACGTGCCGCCGGCCATGATTTGCACCCCCCCTCTTGGACACCCCCCTCTTGGCCGCTCCCGAGGAGAAGGGGCGGCCGCGGAAGGCGGGCGAAAAAGCGGGAGGGCGCGCTCACTCCACGGAGAGATTCGCGCCAGGAGCGTGGCCGGCCTGGCCAGCCTGTGCCGAGGCAGGCACCCACGGGGCAGGCAAGCCAAGCTCCTTGGCATCGCTCGGACGTGTGCAGTTTCCCTCCGGCGAGGGCCATCGAGGAGCCTCCTCGATCCTTGGGCGCAAAAGCCGCGCACGAAACCGAAAAAAAAAAAAACACAGGGAGTGGACGTCCGAGCGATGGCGAGGCTCGGGGTGCATTCAGCGGCTGCGCCTCATGGACGTCCGAGCGATGGCCAGCTCTGCCTGAGAGCGTGCCGGGGGTGCCCGCGTCGTCCCGAACGGCCGCCAGAGGCCAGAGTCAAGCAGTGGCGGAGCGTCCCAGCTCGCCTGTAGGCCTACCGAGGAATGTGCTAAGGACCTTTTGTGGTCTGCACGACATGTTCTTGGAACATTTCTTGCTGGGACCGTCGTGTTTTGACAAATCGGGCCTATGCTCTAAGAGCATTGTCCTTGTTCTTAGAACATGTTGGGGTTCTACGAAAATTTCGTGGTAGGCCTATAGGAATGCCGGGACGGTCGGTCCCTGCTCAACATCATGGATGGGCTCAGGGGGGGGTCGCGTTCACCCCCGATGGCACACTCGTCGCCGATAGGGGCCCCACGGCCAGTCCCGCCCAGGAAGTGCGGAGGACTCGTCATCGTCAGGGGCCACGATAGGGGGGGATAGGCACAGGTGGGGGTGCATCGACCTCCAATCGCCCATTGATCGCCGATAGGGGCCCGATAGCCCCAACCTGCCCAGGGGGGTGCGGATTCACTATCGGAGGCCTATCGCAGATCTATCGGCGATGTAACGCCGATTCCAGGTCAATGTATCTCCACCTATGCCAGTCCCCCTATCGTTGCCCCTCATGTCGGAGGCATGCCGCCGATCTACCCGCGATGCATCGCCGTTTCCAGCGCTCGACGCTTCCCTGCCTGAGCCAGTTCCTCCCTTGCGCTCCCCTGCAAACTCAGCACGAGGCAAGCGGGTCTGGAGGGAAGCGGGTCCTGACGGGCCTTCGGGGCCCGTCTTTGGCCCCGGGGCCGTCAACACAGCTCAGGGTGACTGGGGAAGATCCCTGGTTCTTATGATGTTTCAACCTGCTTCAGCCTTGATCACCGAAACTTGAGGGTTTTCACGTGTCGGGCCTTGGCAGGCGATACTCGTTCGACACTGTTTGGATACTCGGGGCGCTCGAAATTATTTCTGGGATGTGGTCCTGAAGTACGATGGGGGCAACATAACCTGGGTCCAGGACCCGCTTCCCTCATTTCCAGTAGCGATGGATGATGGTTCTGGGCCGTTGGAGAGGGAGTGAGGGGGGGATCTCAGGGCTGGGGCCACGACACCTCTCAGATGTCATGGCCCTCCCTTTTGACGCAGCCTGCCCCCCCCCCGTCGCCCGCACACGTGGTTCGGGACATACATGATGTGCTAAGCCCGCTCTTTCTTCCTGCCCCCCCTCTTCGGTGCACCCGGGCCCGAGTCATAGCGGAGGCTGTCGAATGGCTCTGCGATGGCGAGGATGGCGACGGCGAGGATGGTGAGCAGCCGGAACGATAGGCGAGGGTGACGAGCATGTCGACGGCGAGGCTGGCTATGGACAGTGATGGGTGATGATGGATGGTGATCCGCAGAAGGCACCTGTGTATCACCATGCCTGGCCAGGGTCATCCTGGGCCCCAGGACGGCGTAAAGGCTTTCTTAGCCTGGGCACGCAGGGCGTGTTCACCGTCCCGTACTACGGCCCAGGCCTTGCGCGGTAGTGGTGGTTCACAGGTTCCTTCTGCGGAAGTGGCACCCAATACTGACGGATGGTCACGTGACGGTGATGGCGCGGATGGTGATCAGTAGTATGATTTTGTCGTATGACAACGAGGTCGATGGCGACGACGGCGGCGATGATCCGGTCAGGCCTGCTTTTCTGCTCCATCCTGCGCTGACGACTCGAGGCTTCGGGGCAGCAGCCTTCGGCTGAGCTAGCGGCGTTGTTCTGACGATATTGGCCGTCGACGGGACCAGATGTCGACATGGAGGGGCACCCAGACAGGAACGCCAGCAGGAAACCTGGCTGTCCGTGCGAAGCAGACTGATTCACGCTGGTCGTTGGAAGGAGGCATTTGGGGATTTCCAGGTTCATCTCTACTTTGGCGCCTTCCTGCTTCAAGAATCGAGGCTTTTGGCTGTGCTCTGCTCTTCCCCGGGCGGGCCCGAACCCAATCTTTTTGTGCCCGCCTTCCTCCTTCACGCTTCTACCTACTTCTCCCTCCTCCTCCTCCTCCTCCCCTCCCTCCTCCTCCTCTCCCTCCTCCTCCTCCTCCTCCTCCTCCTCCTCCTCCCCCCCTCCTCCT